ATAATAAAAGTGAATTTAATAATACAATAAAAATAAAAAATGGATGTAATGAATTAATTGAAAAAATAATATAATTTAAAAAATGAAAAAGTAATATAATATAAATAATAAATAAGAAAATATTCAAAAATGTATATAAAAAAGTAAAATTAAAAATGTTTTTTTAAAAAAATTGCAGGTAAAAGCTTCTCAGTTGTGATGATTTGAAGCTTTTCTGTTTGGTATAAGAAACTATAGCAGATACTTTGACTGATGAAACTTATCTGAGAAAATAATCAGCAGATTATTGGATCATACAAATAATCATCAAATGACAGAAACCAGTTTGTGGATCATCCCAGAAGAATTCAGTCGGAACAACTGGTTTTTACCGTCTCTGACTCTCAGGTGTGAAACAGTGACGCCCAGTGGACAGAATGAAGCACTACATGTTCAGAGTAGGAAACATTGACTAACTGTTAACTGATGGAGGTGGATCAGCTGACTGTTTCAGGACGAGATGATGCTGCAGCGTCTCTCGTCTCCAGAGACAGAGACAGAAAAAGACTTTTCCACACATGAAACATGTCTCTGCTCCGTCGTTGTGTTTTCTCCTCCACTGCTGCGTGTGCACTTCCTCCTCCTCCTCCTCCTCCTGCTGTGATGACAGGATCAAACTCTGAGCCCTGGCACACCTTCCACTGACGACTTTATATCGCTGTAATCCCTCCATCTCCATCTCCTCCTCTGTCCGTCGACACCTTGACCGACTCTTTTCATCTCCTCTCACAAAGTCACCGTCAGAATTCAACAGTTTATTTTGACTAAATAAAACCAGCTGTAGAGTCGAGGATTGTTTCTCTTTTCCTCTGTTAAACAGGAAATAGTAGAACGTGTTGTAGAGCAGCTTTTCTCTGACGTTTCATCGCTCAGGATCCGACTCACAGAGACAGACTCTAACTCTTGGACCTCAGACAGACTGAGTCTCAGTTCATCTGCTGCACAAAGCACTTTACTTCTTCACTGTATATTCTGCATAAATTAGGGCTTTTTTCAAAATAAATACAAATAGACGACCGAGGAACCGCATCTAACCACTCAGAAAATGTTTAGAGTTACAAGGACGTTTTATTTGAAAATTCAGCAAAGAGTTTAAACAGTGAAAAAGAAAAATCTGATCTTTGGTCTCTAAAAACTCTTTCTCTTCCCTCTGCTCAAACAGAATCAGGAGTAGTCACTAACACTGTGTGTTTAGCTTTAGCTTAGCACAAAGACTGGAAGCAGAGGGAAACTGTTAGCCTCCTCTCAGAAGGAGAAAGTAGCTGATACTTTCCATATGTTTTCAGTAAATACTCTCCTCTCATAAACACTGTTTAAATCCACAGTTTAAAGTGACAAGACGACACCCTGCCCCCCCCCTTCTGGTTTTATCACAGCAGGTCTGTGACACCTGGAGGAGGAGGAGGAGGAGGATCGTCAGTGTTTGTAGCAGAGCTGTCTCACCCTCTGACTGACTTTGGTTTGAAAAAAGAAAGAAATTAATTTTTTTAAAAACAGGAAATCACTGGTCCAAGGTTGTTCAGGAGGAGGAAGAGGAGGAAGAGGAGGAGGCCCCCTAAAGAGAAGGTGCTTAGCTTTGGAGAAAAGAAGCAGCAATTACGAAAATGAAAGCCCTTGCACTGCAAGAATTTTCATCTCGGCAGTTGCCATGGGAACAGGCCTCAGCCCCCCCGCCCCTCCGGTCCACCCTCCCCTCCCCCGCCTTCACACGAGCCCTCTGCAGCACAATACAATGAAATGAAGGATTTCACAGAAGGAGAAAGGAGGAGGGAGGGGGGAGGGGGTAAGCGGCGGACCAGAGGGGGAGGGCAGGGGAGAAAAGTTTCCTCCTTTTTTATTTCCTGTCGGAGACGAACAGCTGAGAGGAAACCTGCAGGTCTGGAAAAGACCTGGAAAAGTCTGGAAAAGCCTTGAATCTCCTCCTAAAGTCTTAAATCAGTTTTACATCAGAGAATTAATTAATTCATTAGAATTAAATTATTATTATTATTATAGATATTAAAGCACTCTTTATTAATGTAAGAGTTATTATAGATTTCTGCTGTACAGGAGGAAACTAGTGAAATAAATATGATGTAAACTTTAATAAATCCAGGAGCCTGTTAAAGAATCTCGCTGGTTTTTATTGACGTGTTTCAGGCCGGAGGGACTGAGAACATCAGGAACAGTCGTTTCACATGGTTTTAAAAAGGTGGTCACATGTCAGAGTTAAAACCCTCTGAGGTCGACGGATGTTTCTATTAATATCTTTGTGATAACACGGAGTAGAAATATGGTTTAAATGTTGTGAGAATCTGTCCACTCTCCACTTTCTGCTTCAGATCATACGTGATCTACTTTTTACTCACATTTACTCACTATTTTTATGAACATCAGACTTTGGTAAACACATTTCAGTCCATCCACATCAATCAAGGTTCGTTTTCACAAGAGATTTGAAGAGTTTCAAAAGAAACTGGCTTCAGTTTTTCAGCATCTGGGACAAATGATCACAGAGGGCGTCACTATAGAAAGAGCTGAGATTGTTCTGAAAACTGTGATATAAACACTTTATATTTTATCTTACACACAAGAAAATCCCCTCAGACCTCAGATCTGTGAAGTGGTTTTAAAGGACGAGTTCACGTTTACAAACAAACCTTCATCTTCAACCAATGAAAAGACAGTTTTAATCTGTTTCCCTGCTTTCTACAGAGCTGTAGACAGGGTTTGATAATTAGTGACTAATAATAATAACTAACTGAGGACACTAGTCCATTGTCCAAATAATGAGCAGCCACCAAAAAACCCTCTGGATTTTCGAAAGTACAATAAATTGAACTGGTGCAGCGTTTTTGCAGTTTGTGTTTATTTGTCTCGAACCGTCCGAACACTCAGAGACCTTCTGTCTGTCTCTCTCTCTCTCCCTCTCTCTCTCTCTCTCTCTCTCTCTCTCTCTCCCTCCGTCTGAAACGAGTGACTGCAGGTTTTAAAACGTCTTTGTCTCACTTCACACCCGCAGAATCTTTACATTGATTTATCTTCGGTCGAACACGGTTCATGTTCCACTGGAAAATGTGTGACTTCGGCCCATTTAGATAAAATTGACCTGAATGCAGTCGCACCTCATTTAAAACCCGCTTCACGTTCAGTCCAAACTCAGTGTGAGTGTTAAAGAACGTCACAAACTTTAGGGAGGTTTTTCTCACTGATGTCCTGAATGCTGTTTTAAACCCTCTCAACATTATTACATATAGTTTATAATGAATAATGTAAAACACTAAATCATTTTATTTGACTTTAATTGTTTTTTTGACTAAAAACAGTAAAATATATAAAAATAAGAAATAATATAAGAAATAAATGAGATTCAGCCTTAAAAAACAACATACATAAAACAAACAACTAAATAAATGAATAAATAATAAAGTAAAGAAAACTCTGATGTGAGGAATTGTTTTAACAAATGAAGACTTTAAAGTTGAATTCATCATTGATTATGTGACAGTGACATGATTCACATCAGCACCAAAACCAACAAAGACATAACCACCATCCGGCCTGCTTTAATTCAGTTTCTCTCACTGTTGTTTCCATCGGTGTCTCTGCCGCTGTTTGTCCTCTTCGCCTCGCCGTAGTTTATGTGGCGGTCAGCTGTTAACGTCAGCGCCTGGTTCGACCTTGAAGCCGCGGTCGATCTCAGCTGATCTACAGCCTGAACCTCAGCACGGACCACAGCGCAGTAAACATCCAGTGTGAGGCGGCAGCTCAGAGAACAACACGTGTCAGAGACACTGTGAATGTTTTTATGTCATTACGTTTCAGTTAATCTAATGACAAGTTTTTTTGTTTTGTGTAAAACTGGTGCAGTTTACAGTCACTTTGATACTGGACTCCACCAGCAGATGGCACCAGACTCACTTTAAACCAGGGGAAAAAACAAACAAAAAATACAAAAATATCCGACATTAACATTTTTAGATTTAATAATTAGAACTTTTTTTTTTATTTAAATGTCATTTTTTTATGCTTTAATTTTACATTAAATTACTGTGCGTGTTATTAACATCACACCCACATGAAATAGAAAATGACATTGAGTTTAATTAAAGATTTAATTTTGATATTGTCAGTGTTGGACTTCCGTATCTTTGCAGTTTGAAACTTCTGGTTTTTAATTTCTCTGTAAACTGTGTCTGAATGTTGCAGTATTGATTATCAGTCAGCTGATCAGACTCTGCAGCTTCTTGTCTTGTTTTATTTATGGAGAAGTTTCTCTGAGCAGCAGGAAACAAGACGAAAAGCTCCTCGTTAGTTTGGAGCGACGGAGTCTTCGGCTGCTTCTTTTATTTTGAACAAAAAGACGGAGAAAGTTCAGAGACTAACGAGAAACACTGTGACATTTTCCTGAAGAGGATTTCCTCCTCCTCCTCCTCCTCCTCTTCTTCGTTTAATGAAGCTCTGACTTTAATGAAGAGCGGTCTGAGGTTAAACCAGACAAACTCCGTCCTCAGAGGTGAATTAAAGCTGCGTTAATGTCGCCTGCCTCCATCTGTGCGGAGCAGCTGACGGTGATTTAAGGCAGGAAGACGGATGAAAGGTGGAGACTCTCATTACACTGCAGCCCAATGAAACTGTTATTCTTGGACGTGAATCGCTGCCTCTTCATCAGGAGGAGGGAAACCTGCTGGCACCGCAAAATAATCACTGAGCGAGTCGTTTAATCTCAGATTCTTTTCATTTTATTCAGATGTTTCAGATTATTTCACTTCTGTTTTTATAAATAAATCTCTCCATCTTTAAAAAGACAGATTGTTGAATTAATATGAAGCTTAACTTTGATTTCTCCACCTCCATGATGAACACCAGAAGAGTGTAGGTGGCGCCCCCACAGGTCGATGTCAGTCACTACGACAACAACAGAGTCATTTTCCAGGTGTCTGTGTTTCTTGGTCTAACTGCTGCGTTCGGGTGTCTTTCAGATGCTGGGAACTCTCACTGCTGTGCCCATCAAGGTGCCTCAAGTCAGCTCCCTGCACCGGCTGGCAGGACAAGCAGCCACTGTGCTACCTCAGGTAACACACACACACACACCCACACACACACACACACAGACACACACAGACACACACACACAGACACAGACACAGACACACACACACACACACACAGACACAGACACACACACACACACACACAGACACAGACACACACACACACACACACAGACACAGACACACACACACACACACACAGACACAGACACACACACACACACACACAGACACAGACACACACACACACACACACAGACACAGACACACACACACACACACACAGACACAGACACACACACACACACACACAGACACAGACACACACACACACACACACAGACACAGACACACACACACACACACACAGACACAGACACACACACACACACACACAGACACAGACACACACACACACACACACAGACACAGACACACACACACACACACACAGACACAGACACACACACACACACACACAGACACAGACACACACACACACACACACACAGACAGGCCGCCTGTTGAACGACGTCACCTGTAGTTATAAATGTTGGAGATTCTTTCTTTTCCAAAATGAAACTTTTCTACTTTAATTTGTGGTTGAAATAAATTGTCAGATCTTGAAATATTCATGTCGTATAACAAATATTCATGTGTTATTCTTTATGTCTTTATTGTGTCTTTGACACTTTGTGATTTTATGAATGGTTTGTTTTTCTAATATCTTCATGTTGGACACTTGATGAGGTTCGTCGGTGTTAACGAACTTTAAACCTGATTAGAAGATAAATAACTGCAGGCTGATGTCATGTTTGTGGTGGCAGTGGCTGCGGTGACGGCAGACGTCCACCAGGAGGCAGCACAGACTCCTCTCAGTCAAACAGCTGAAATCAGAGTCTCTGTCCTGTGATTGGTCGACAGGAAGCCTCAGCAGCTGGATGAACATCTGCAGCTCAGACTCTGTTTGCTTCACATGAAACATCAGTTCAGTCTCAGATCTGATTGTTCATCAGGTTCTTTGTCGGCCATGATGCTTTTGCTCATGTGACTTCTTCTACAGACTTGAGTTGTGGATGCAGCTGTTAATCAGCCTCCCTCCTCTGGTCCTCCTGCAGGTCAGGCCAAAGACCCAGATCCCGGACAGCCTTCCCCACAGTCCCTGCCAGGAGCTGCAGCCCCTCAGTCTGCAGAGGGCCACCGCCGTGGTCAGTCCCAAGAGCCAGGGCCCCACCCTGCCCACCGCCAACAGCACCTTCAGTCCCGACCACCAGCCCAACGGCCAGAGCGACCCCTCGCCGCCCCAGGCCCCTCCCCACGGCCTGTCGGGGGGTTCCGACTCCAGCGGCCCGGCCCAGCACGCCTCTGCGGGACCCGGCGTGGCGTACGCCATCATCGCCGCCTCGCCCGCCACCGGCAACGGGGTGTCCGCCGTCAGCGAGGCCGTCAAGGTGCAGCCACTGCTCTTCAGCGCTGACAACAAGGCTGGTGTCTCCACCAACACTCAGTCTGAACCACCACAGAACCTGGTTCAACCAGACCTCAGAGACTGATCAGGTTTAACTGATCAGGGTTAATCAATCCGGGTCAACTGATCAGGTTTAACTGATCTGATCCAGAATCGACTTTAATAGAAACAATAGAAACAATAAATGTCATTAAACTCATTTAACTAGATTTAAGACAGGGAGTGACTTTTATTTTGAAGGACAGACTTCATCGTCATGTGACAGCAGCTCAGAGCAATGAGACAGATAATTAACAGATCTGATAATCAATCATTAACGATCTGATCCTCTGATGTGAATATTGTTTATTGACTCATTTGTAGATTTTTTATTGTTTTATCTTGTTTAAAAAACCAAACAATCAATAATCGGTAGATCAATCAATAATGAGAACGACAGTTAGTTTCAGCTCAACACGTTTTATTTATTATTTATTAACTTGATAAAGTTTATAAAAACAAACTGATTCATTTTCTTCAGATGACGAAAAAGCTTCAAACTGTAATTATTGATCAGATTATTATTGATTGTTTCCAGGTGATAATAATCCAGCCTCAGGCCCCCAGCAGCACCGAGGGGTCCCCGGGGGCCCAGGCTGACCTGCCGTCACAGGAGGCCCCGCCCGCCCCGAAATCCCCGTCCCAGAAGAAAGACGAGGACCCGGAGGTGAGAAAATCAAACGCACAGAAGAAACATGAACAAACTTTTATTCTGGTTTGTTTGTTTGTTTGTTTGTTTGTTTACAGCAACAAACAGTCTCTGCTTCATCAATCAAACACTAACGACACATGAGGCTTTACACTTTATTTAAAACATTTAAATAAAGTGTTTTTTCTGCTGATAATGAGAAATGTGAACATGTGTTTGTTACATAATTACAACCAGCTCACAGAACGAGTCTTTATTGTTAATTCAAGTTTAATTTCAGGGATTAAATCAACGTTTTTTAGTAAAAACAGGGCAGAGAAAAATCCCATGATTCACTGCTGCTGTCAGATTTACCTGGTCAAATCAGAGAGGAGCAGCAGCTCGTTTAGAGAGAAGCTCCTGATGAAGATTTGCTCTTCACTTAAGAACTCTTGACTCTGAATCAGGCTGAGAGTCTTCCAGGATCCTCCAGGACCCTCCAGGACCCTCCAGGACCCTCCAGGATCCTCCAGGATCCTCCAGGACCCTCCACCTCGTCGTTAACGTCTCCTCTCTCTCTTTCAGAAAATCGCCTTCATGGTCGCTCTCGGCCTCGTCACCACAGAACACCTGGAAGGTGAGTTCACACAGGAGGAGGAGGAGGAGGAGGAGGAGGGGGAGGAGGAGGGGGAGGAAGAGGAGGAGGGAGGGAAGAGGAAGAGGAGGAGGGGGAGGAGGGGGATGGAGGAAGAGGAGAGAAGAGGGGGATGAGAGAGAGAGGAGGAGAGGGAGAGGAGGGGAGGAGCGAGGAGGAGGGAAGGAGGAGGAGGAGGAGGGGAGAGGAGGAGGAGGAGAGGAGGAAGGAGGGGATGAGGTAAGAGGAGGAGGGAGAGGAGGGGGAGGAGGAGGGAGAGGGGGGGAGGAGGAGGGGGGAGGAAGAGGAGGAGGGGGGGGGAAGAGGAGGAGGGGGGGGAGGGAGGGGGAGGAGGAGGGAGGAGGGGGAGGGGAGGGGAGGAGGGAGAGGAGGGGGGGGGAGAGGAGGGAGAGAAGGGGGGGAGGGAGGAGGAGGAGGCAGGAGGAGGGGGAGGAGGAGGGGGGAGGAAGAAGAGGAAGGAGGGAGGAAGAGGGGAGGGAGGAGGGGGAGGAGGGATGAGGAAGAGAGGAGAGGGGGATAGGAAGAGAGGAGGAGGGAGGAGGAGGAGGAGGGAGGAGGAGGAGGATGGGAGGAGGAGGAGGAGGAAGGAGGGAGGAGAGGAGGAGGAAGAGGAGGGAGGAGGGGGATGAGGAAGAGGAAGGAGGAGGAGGGGGAGGAGGGGAGGAGGAGGGGAGGAAGAGGAGGAGGGGGGGGAAGAGGAGGAGGGGGAGGGGGAGGGAGGAGAGGAGGGAGGAGGGGGAGGAGGAGGGGGAGGAGGAGGAGGAGGGGGGGAGGAGGAGAGGAGGGAAGGAGGGGGAGAGGAGGAGAGAGAAGGGGGGAGGAAGAGGAAGAGGAGGAGGGGGGGGAGGAGAGGGGAGGGGGAGGAGGAGGAGGAGAGGAGGCGGGGAGGTAGGGAGGGGGGAAAGGAGGGGGGGAGGTGAGGAGGAAGAGAAGAGGAGGAGGAGGAAGGAGGGAGAGCGAGGAGAGGAGGGAGAGAGAGGAGGTAAGAGGAGGAGGGGGAGGAGGGGGAGGAGGGAGGGGAGGAGGGCAGGGGGGCGGGTGACACTCAGATTTTATTCATGTTCCTGTTACAAACATCATCAGCTGAGTGTTTCATTAAAACTAGAGGGAGATGAGAGAAAGTGACGTCGTCCATGTTGTCAGGCAGAAATAATAAATGAATGTGAGACTTAAAGATCTTATTTGTTCCTTAAAGTTTGAAAAACTTTACATTTATATTTAGTAAACAACAAACAGATTTCAGTTGTTTAATTAAGTTTGTTTAAATCAGGTTTGATAATGACGAGATAACGTATAATAATAATGTAATATAATATACATGAAGTTTTACAGCGTTAGAAACAGTTTTCATGTGACGTCTGATCTGAAACTGCACGTCTGTAACTTCACCTGGACAGGTTTATAATGAGGAAGTTATAATTACAGTCACATGGACCGTGGTACCTTACGTTAATGAACTCCAGCCTAACGAGCCTTTAATCGGCTGCACATGAACAGGTGTAGAAACACCTGAAGCTGCTGTTCACCTGCAGATGTTTTATTGAATGTTTTTTCCTGGTGAGCAGAAATCCAGACGAAGCGACAGGAGAGGAAGAGGCGGAGCACGGCCAACCCGGCGTACAGCGGCCTGTTCGAGCCCGAGGTCAGAAACTAAGTCAACACCTCTTCATGTTACTGCGTCGTTTCTAAAGTGTTTTAAATATCTGTTGTCACGTCTCACTTCCTGTTTGTGTCTCTGCAGCGTAAACGTCTGGCGTCTCATTACCTGAACAGCTCGCTCTTCCTGTCGGCACGAGGTAAAACTCATCAGCTGAGATTAAATTCATTTAAAGTCACTCACAGTTTAATACGAACTCATCAGTTGGTTTTTGTTAAAGTCTGGACACAAGAAACACTCAGACTTTTATTTTGAAAGACAATGGACCTTTATAAGTATTTCTAAAAAATTACTCGTTAAGATTCGTGAGGCGGAAATGTTTGAAACTTTTCCATCCAGCTGCAACTATCCTCCTCCTCCTCCTCCTCCTCTTCCTCCTCCTCCTCCTCCTCTTCCTGCTCCTCCTGCTCCTCCTCCTCCTCTTCCTCTTCCTCCTCCCTTCCTGCTTTCCTGCTCCTTCGTCCTCCTCTTCCTCCTCTTCCTCCTCCTCCTCCTCCTCCTCCTCCTCTTCCTCCTCCTCCTCCTCTTCTTCTCTGGTGTTTTCCTGCTGCACGGCTTCACCTGTCACCTGTCTCTCTGTGTGTAGCCACTAACCTCTGCTCTGCTTCCATTCACATGCTAGACTCTGAGGATTTCTGCTGGAAGGTAGGTCACATGACATCACATGATATGACATCATATGACATCACCTCTGCTGTACACTTCCTGTAGGAGAAGATGGGAGCAAAGACAAAAGCTTCATACTGATATTTTACTTTGAAAATCATCTGAGTCACACATTTAGAATATCATCTTATATTGTTATCAATATTAATATGAATATTGATCTTATTGAAGTTGATCAAAATTTGTCGTTTTCTGATATAAATTTGATTAAAAAATCAAGTTTTTCAAATTTTCTCTGAAATTCAGAGACAAAAACAAAATGATAAATTCACCCTTGAACATCTGGACTGATGATTATCAATCAAGTCAGGAAGGAACTGATCAATCAGGTTTTTCTGTCACATGATCGAGAGAATTCAGACACATGAAGCCAGATGATTTTCAAAATAAAATGTGTGAAGAGTCATTTCACTGCTGCTTCCTCTAACTCGTTTACGTTTCTGACGTCAAATGAAACTTTCATGTTTTATCTTTAATAATCTGAAAGTTAATTTTGTTTATTTGAAAATAAAAACCTTTAAATGACCAAGACACTGTGTGAACTCACTGGTTGTTGCCGTGACGACAGGAGGACTTGGAGCATGACGACCACTGTGCCATCTGTAAGGAGGACGGCGAGCTGCAGCCCTGCCACAACTGCCCCCGAGCCTTCCACCCCAACTGCCTCCACCCGCCGCTCAAAACCCCCCCGAGAGGCCCCTGGTACTGCCCCAAGTGCCAGAAGAAGGTGAGACATTCCCTTTGGAGAAAACACTTCCTGTCACCACTGTGCAGCAGGAAGGACGTTAGCTTAGCTTAGTTTAGCTTAGCATAAAGACTGGAAACAGGTGGAAACAGCTAGCTTGGCTCTGGTCAGAGAAAACCCAGCTCCTGTACCGCTGAGTGGTTCAGTTACTGCTCCAGTCCTGGAACAGTCCTGACCGTGACCTTTGACCTGTGACCTATAGTAACCTCTCTGCCATCTCTGTTCTCCAGGTTCTGAACAAGGAGAACATGTCGTGGCCTCAGAACTTTGTTCAGTCCTACGTCACACACAAGACAGGTGAGAACGAGTTCCTCTCGCTACAACACCCAGTGTGTCGTTGTGTTGTTTATGTGCTGATCGTGTGTGTGTGTGTGTGTGTGTGTGTGTGTGTGTGTGTGTGTGTGTGTGTGTGTGTGTGTGTGTGTGAGCAGTGAGGCAGGAGGAGAAGCGACGGCTGGTGAGGAGAAACAGTGAGCTGAAGAAAGAGTGCGCTCACCTGGAGGAACAAGACGAGCAGCTCAACAAGACGCTCAAGGTAGAGACACACACACACGTACACGTACACACACAGACACACACACGTACACGTACACACACACACTGTATCGTGTTGTGTTGTTTTGTTTTGACATGACCACGCCCACTCAGGAGACAGGAAGTGTTTTCTGTTTCTTAACATTGCTGCTGCTCGTAGTGAGTCATCTTCTCTTATAGAGGATCTTTGGTAGAGTTAGCGCTTCAGTTGTACGTCAGCTGACAGGAAGTTGACTCTGCCACTTCCTGTCTCCGCAGCACTGCATGGACCTGAGGGAGCGTCTCCTCGGGCAGCAGAGAGACACTCAGGCGTCGCTCGACCGCCTCAAAGACCTCATCAGGTTGATCCAACGCGACCAGCTCATCCAGGTCACCATGACGACCACCGCCACCATCGCCGCCTCCCTGCTCTCCCAGTCCTGGATCAAACCCACCAGCACCGCCGCAGCCGCCGCCGCAGCCGCAGCCGGCGCCACCCCGGGCCCTTCGGCCACACCCCTGCAGAAGAGCCACGCCCACAGCCAGGAGAACATCAACAACTAGCCCCGCCCCACCCCCACCACCACCTCACACGGTGCTCCGACTTTTTTCAGCGTCGAGGGCGGCGAAGTTTCTTTCGTGGGAATATTTCAACATGTTTGTGTGCGAGCTGAAGACGAACTGAGTCACGTGTTTTTTAAAGCCAACACCTCCAGTGCTTACGAGATTTCTTTTTTCAAGTTCTTTTCTATTTCTTCATGTTCTTGGCCTTAATGTATTTATTACGACAGTTAGAGGACGAGCCGCCGCGGGAACACGAGGCTCCTGGAGACCCCGCCCTTTTCTAACAGGTCCGGTTCTTGTTCTGCAGATAGAGAGAGAACAGTAGAGCTAGTGGACTGTACAGTCATATATCTGAGTAGATGTTTGTTCTCATTCTCCTACGAACAATGTTTTTGCCATAATAATTCAGGAAATGTTTTCATGGTGTACGTGAACGAGCCTTCAAACAAAAACAGAGAATAACTTTTTTTCAGTATTAATAGAGTTAAAGTCAAAGAAAAAAGTATTTAAGATGAAACTACAGAAATTAGCATTTCTAGTGGAGAGTTTAGTATTTTCATGATGCCTGTTGATAAATGTAAGTTTGGAGTATTCAAGGGGATCACTGTACATATGTTGTATTATTATTATTATTGATATCATCATCGTCATCGTCATCATCATCATCGCAGGTTTTTCATAATGGAGGAACTGAGCTGAGTCTGTTTGTGTGTCTGTTTGATTGACAGCAGCAAAAACAAGAAAATAACAGAAGAAGAAGAAGAAATGAAAAATATTTAAAAACATCAAGTAAAAAAAAATTTAAAAAAATCACAGTTTGATTTTTGTTGCAGAAGCTGAACGTTAAATATTAAATATCAGAGCTTTTCATTTATTTCCTCTGTAGAGTTCTGCAGGAATGAGTCCAAAAACCTGGATATGAGTTAGCATGTTAGCATGTTAGCACTTCCTGTTCCCTGATCCTGAAGTCTCTGGGTTGTTGGTTAGAATGAAATCAGGTCTGTGTTTAACACAAGCTCAAGACGTTTTCACCTTTTATTCTCGGCGTAAAATCGGTCAGTAAATACTCCAGTCCTGATGCTTGAAGCTTTTACGTCTCTGTTGCTAACGAGTGTCTGAATGAGACACGGAGGTCGTCTGGGACGTTAAACATCATCACATTGAACATGAAAACCGATCTACTCACCAGTCCACCTTTACAGCCTGGTTAACTCACCAGTCCACCTTTACAGCCTCTTGAAGATGATCCTGCTGAACTAAACCTGTCAGACCAGAAACTTTATTTTCTACTGTATAAAAGACAATGGGAAAATGTCACTGACTTTAGTGGAGGGAACCAGGGCGACGCTCACTTCCTGGTTGGTCGACACACATGTCATTCCTGCAGCTCTGAGTCTCTGATTCTGTGATCTTTATTCTTCATTCAGTTTCTGCCTAAAATCAAACCACAAACCTGAAGTTTCCTTCCACTGTAAATACATTTCAAATATTTTAGTTTCTGCGTCTTTAAAAGAAACTTTATCGTGTCCAGATGTTGTTGTTGTTGTTGTTGTTGTTTCTGCTGCTGCGTCATCAACAGGAAACAAACAGACTGAGCTTCAGTTCGTTCCCTCCAACACAAACACGTCGTTCAGTCGACGTCATGCATCATTAAGCCCCTCCCCCTTTAACCAGTGTAGAAAATATGCCAAAAACTCTTTGTTTTTCTACCGGGATCATTAACGTCTACTGTGCTTTTTTCCCGCCCTGCCTGTTTTTATATTTTTGGCGTGAAGCTCTTTTTTTTTACTCGTGTGTTTCCGGTGACGAGCCTGTCAGCTGACAGATGAACACTGCCTCAAGTCCAAACCGTCTCAGATCCAGGTTTTCGTCTCTGTTGCGTCATTTTCTCGACACCGGTCGATCAGAAACGGGACGCCTCTGTCAAACTGCAACAACTCTCTCTGACTGTGGGCGGAGTGGCGGCACGGAGGCCACGCCCTCCTGGTTTGACGTCGAACCGGGACGCTGTTTCCGCCGCCGCCGCGTCCCGCTCGGTCTGTTGTGTATCTCGCTAGTCTTCCTGCTGGTCCAGAGAGGTTCCGTTTAAATGTTGAATCATAGATTTAGTTTTTATTTGATTTGATCAAAGTGTCACCAGGTGAGGAGCAGCTGCTGCTGCTAATGCACAAACACGAACAAAGTACAGAGGAAGATGCCTTTAAGAAAAGAGAAGAGAAAAGAAGTGATTTTATTTGTTTTGATCATATCCAGGTCACATGACTCTAAAGTATCAAAGATACAGAAAAGATCCTCAATGTTGGAGAAGCATCATCTGCACGAAAAAAAAAAAACACTGAAGCGTCTGTGGATTCAGCGTCGAACGAGTCGAACGAATCGAACGAATCGAACGAATCGAACGAATCGAACGAATCGAACGAATCGAACGAGACAAAAAATAACGATCAGCAATATGAAAAGAAAAAGCTTCAGTTGCTTCAAATGAACCAGTTCTTACAAAATGTCCTGAATCGTACGGATGTGAAGGAGAAACAGTCCTTCAAACAAATGCATCGTTTATTTTCACTTGTATTAAAAGTGAAAAGTGTCGATGGTGGATGAGACGTCACGTCATGTTTCAGTCGTCTGCAGCCAAACAGACGCATCAGCTGATCTGGAGGACGTTAGTTTGAAGCAAACTGTGGCTTCAGTCAGACGCTCTGTGACCTTCGAGTCCAAAGAAGTTTTTATTGTGAATCAGCTGTTAAAACAAGTTCAAATTCCAGATTCAGATTCATTAATATTAATCATTTAATTAAATAAAAAAAAAACAAATTTAATTCACTGTAATAAATGACAAAGAGAAACAGCAAGTTTTTATGTTTGAGAAAATCGACTGTTCAGTCAATTCAAACATGACTCATAGATTTAAATGAATATAAGTTATTAATTGTCTTAATAAATTACAGACAAATTGATCCTAATGACTCAACAGTACTGCAAATGATTATTTTCATTTTCTCAATGAATCATAAAATCATTTTAACTCAGAGTTTAACTGAGAAATGCTGAAACAAACCCGACAGACTCGCAGGTTTAATGTTTGAGTGAAGAAATATTTGGACATTAGACTCGAACGATAGAAACAAACTGAAGTTCCACTCTGACGTGAAAAGCTTTGGACTCAAAGGTCACAGCCGTCCAACAGTTCAGCTCAGAGACGTCTCACTCTGATCTAAATCCACAGGTTGTTTGACATGTTTCACCAGATACAGAGCCTGAGACATTTCTGCTGACTCAGTAAATCCAGATGTTGGTGCAGCAGATGTGGTCACCTCCTCTAACATCATAAAACATCCAGCACCAGGGAAACAGAGCAGAGAGCAGCTGCTCTTGTCATTTATTGACTTTTTTATTCTTTTTTCCACTAAAATTCAGAGGAAATTTTCTTTTTCCTTCATGAATTTTCTAAAACAAAAAGTCTATAATCAACTGAAGAATAGAGCACACTGTTACATATTAAACTAAACAATAATAACAGTATAAAACAGTTCAAATTGGCTCCAACTTTAACTACAGTACAACAATATTAAAACTGTCCTATTCGCAGTAATGAACCAAGATTCACTGACGGGACAGTTTCTGCCTAAAGAGTATTTTTTTTAATTCAAGATGTTTTTCTATCAGAACAATACTTTGATATGTTTTAAGTAAAACTCTGACTGAAGGACTTTTACTTTGATTTGTATTTGTATTTTTATATCTCAGTATTACCAAGGAAACTGTCCTGACTCACCTCCATCACTTTGTGTTATTTAGTTTTTATTTTAGCATCTCTGCTCTTTTTTCCATCAACAGTAAATCATGTTTTTCCGATGTTATCAGAGGTCGTCTTTGTTTTACACCTAAAAACGCTGCAAGAAAAAACCTGATTGTTCAACATAAATCCATTAATCTAACTTTTGTTTTTTTGATTAATTTTTCTTCAGACGTCAAAACTGAAAAATATTCAGTTTACATTAATATAAATCAGGAACCAGCAAATATTTGATGTTTTCTGTTGGTACGAACTAAATCATTTAAAAGATAAAATGATCACACTCCCAGGCTCTGTATCTGAGACAAACAGATGATGCATTAATCTGCCTTTATGAACGAATGAATCATGATCAGTGTGGAGTCCTGATGTGAAACATATCCAGTCCTCGACCAGACCACAACCACAGATGGATCCATATCAGCTCCGTGTCGTGTCGATACTTCAAACCCCCACAAAATAAGAACTCCTCCTCCTCCTCCTCCTCCACCCCCACCCCTCCACACCTCCTCATCCATTTCTAGAAATCTTCTCCGGGAGAAACTGTGCAGTGCTTAAACAGATCTATTTTAATACACAACACGACATTTGAACAAATGAGAAAAAAAAAAGTTAGAACATTTTTATATTCTTTTATCAAGGAGCAAAAAAAAAAAATGAAGAGAACAGAACATTGGATTTTCTATTGTTTGCCAGTTCTGCATTCTGACTTCTAGCTTACAACGTTCTGTGTTCTTCTGCCACGAGGAGGCGACGACGACACGACGACGGCGTGTAGATGGAAATGAAAATGTGTGTTGGCTGTTGGAGTAGGAGTTTTTTTCTTTGTCATTGATAAGGGGACTGTCCAGTGGATAGTGTGTATAGGAAAGTGTTTGTCTTAAATATGCCAATGTAGTTTTTTTCTTCTTTACGATGCATTAAAAAGTCGATCGATGGAAGTTGGTAAATGGTTAAAGAGTAGTCTCACTTTTTTGTACCAAGTTCTTACGAAAAATTGAATCATTAATAAACGAAATTCAAGAACAAAAGGATTCAAGTGTCTGTTTTCATCTCATTTACACATTTAAGGCCAAAAAACAAGTGTTTGATTTTTCTTTTTAAAACTCCTGAAAAAACTTCACTCATCAAACTATAAAACATAAATATATGAAATAATAGAATAAAATATAAAATAAATACAAAATGAGTAATAAAGTTGATA